TTTTTTTTTTTTTTTTTTTTTTTTTTTTTTTTTTTTTTTTGGAACAAAAAACTTCCCATTGATATCATGTAAAAGGTTACAAACTCCCAAAGGGAGTGAAAGTAAAAGAAAGAAAATACAAAATCAATAGTTCAGTGTATATAGGTCTTTTCTTGAATCAATGGGAGATTTTACACATCTGAAAAACCACAAGTTTCATTAAGAAGCAAATTTGGCAGGTATGGAAGATGGAGGAAGAGGAAAAGTATCATAATCACCTTCTTGAGATAATGAACTAAAAGCTTCAAAATAAAAATCTTCAAGAACATCCTCCAAGTTAGGCTCTATAATTGATTCCACACTGTTCATGCTAACCATGGATTCAACATTAGAATCATCATGTGAAAGAGACATAGGGTCTTTGGTCGAGTGGGTAACTCCTCTAGTTAATACATAATTTGGATTCAAAGGGTATAAAACAATTTGGTACTATGTATTGGGGAACAAGGAATGTGAAGGATCAGAAGAGGTAACTTGTTTCACGAGGAGGGCTAAAAAACGTGAACAACCAATTAATTCAGGATTCAAAGAATATCCTCAAGGATTGGATGAAATGAAGAATATGCCCCTGTTAGTGAACGGGTTTTCTTATGTCAAGGACTCGTTAATGGTCTTATCAACTGCCTTGTCAATTGAAGCATTTGAAAATATGACCTTACCAACTCCATCATTAATGCTCAACTTCATTTTGAAATCATGCAAGACTACACCAAATGAGTTTTTGTCAACCAAATTCTCACAAATTTATTTCATTAACTACCTTGTCTAGAACATCAATGCCAAACCCTTTTTCAAATTCAAATTTTCAGTAAGTGGAGAAACAAAAGACTATTGATCTTTCAATACCTCCTGGCAGCATAAAAAATCTAGAGACTTATCAAGCATGCTAGAGTACATAAAAGAACCGCAAAAGGTGAAGAATGGGATGCAGACATATCACAGGCTCTAGTTGGAATAAAAATACTTCCTAGCATTTTGTCTTTCATTTTGATTGTGGAAAGAATAAAACCAAAAATGTTCTTCTTAGCTTCCATTTTGGCTGAGCAACAATCCAATCTATTTGAGGTTGAAGAATAAGTACTAATAAGTCTTCCGAAATAAGGCCTTCCACAATGACCGTGAATGGCTTCAAAGCAACCACAAATTCAGAGATTCGGGGGTAAGTCCAAAATCTCCACCAAGCACCATATCCCTTAGTAAACTTAGGCACACAATGCTTTTCTGCAAACTATCTCTCAATCTTCATACGAAAAGATTTAAATTTTTCCATTTTCAATAGGTAGAAAATTCTCATCTTCAAACTTTAGCAAGGCCTTGTCATTAATCAAAGGATTACTAACAAAAGAAGCTTCTAGCTGATCCTCTAAAAAATTTTGAGTACCCAAACAATTACCATGAGCAAAAAATCTAGAAATTACCAAAATTGAACTCCGATCATCTTCTGTTATTTCCTTTTCCTTTTTCACTTAGAAAGAATGAGTTTTGAGTACCCAAACAATTACCATGAGCAAAAAATCTAGAAATTACCAAAATTGAACTCCGATCATCTTCTGTTATTTCCTTTTCCTTTTTCACCTAGAAAGAATGAGTGAACTTCTCATAGGGGGATAAACCCTTGTTACTTTTAACAATATCTAACTTGGATCTTTCATTTCTGATTTGAGGAAGTTCCACATGTTGAACATTTGAAATCATGCCAAATCTTCTTGTTGCGCAATGAAGTTTCTTAGTAAATCCCAAAGAGTGAACCAACCCCTTTTATCAACACAAGCACTTATTGATAAAACCTTCCTACCTCCAAAAGGAAGCCATATAATACAATTGAGATAGCAACATTTTTGAATCCCTGATGTTCCAAACTCATCCCTATATTACTTCTAAAAGGGTGAAAACACAGGGCAATGCAACAAACCCATTAATGCAATACTACTACTAATCCTTGCAACAATTACTTGAACTCATAGCAATGAAACTTAAAAATGACCTTAAATGTAGTTGATTCGTAGGGTTAATATAGATGAAAACTAACTGGAAAAAGAATCTGCAGAAGAGGAATAGGTTGAGGGTTTGAGGGTTGAAGGTTGAGGGTTTGAGGGTTGAAGGTTGAGGGTTCTATTGGGTGTACTCTTAAGAAACGAGAATATTAAAAGATTTCATTTGTAGTTATTGTTGAATTGGTAGTTATCCATGGCTATTCAATCGGATTAATCGTTGTTATTTATATAGTCCTCCTTTTGGGTGAATTAGTGATGTTTATAAAGTAAACTGTGTCTAATTAGTCCTTATGGTGTTTACCGTGCTGATATTTCCGCAGTCTTGATTCTTAAAATGATGATTAGGGTCATTTTCATTTTTATATAAAAATCTGTATAGAACACCAAATATCTTTCTGGAGGAGCTGAATAAGAAATAATTCTTCTGTTTACATGAGAAAATTTCTAACTTTTTCCAGAGTTTGTAGATGCTTTTTCTTTTTCTGTCAATACCATGTCTTTGTGCCTTCCTGATGCTTTTCATGTTTCTTAAATTCACAGGAAAAATATATGCTGGAGTTGATGGTAATAGATGTGGGAAAAGGTACCTTAATGTGCTAGTAGTTTTCTTAAATACATATGGAGAGATGACGTACTCATGTCTTCATACTTGATCTTTTTGCTAGTTGGTTCACATTTGTGTTTGATGCTACTGTTCATGTTCTGATTTACTGATAATGGAATAAGAAAATTGCGCTGCCACATGGGAATATTGAACTAACACTTGTTTTCCATGGATACTGGAATTTCTTTAGTTATCATTTTATAAATATAATAGCTTCGAATAAAACAACGAAGAATGCATAGATCAATTAGACCTTTGTAGTTGAGCGTTCGTGGATGGGAGTATACTAAGTTGGTGATCAAAAGAAGTCCTTGTGTTGTGAAAAAAAAAAACGGAATCTTACGAAGTTGCAATGTGAATAACGCAGCAGCTTCAGATATGTATAACTAGATTCTTGCACACATTCATGCACTGTAATTAAGTTTTTCATTTGTGACTTCTGAAACTAACCCAGCACACAGTGGAATTGAATTGAACTCATATGAGTGTTCAAATCACTCCAGGAATACATTGTTTAAAATTGAAACAGGGGTATCTTCCAATCTGAATTTTGTAATTCAAAATAAAAAGGGCAAGATGGGAATCGAAAATGTAAGACCTGACACCTATAAGGTACCTTGCTGCCTCATGTGCATCAAGACGGGTGAGCGTGAGAGAAGCATGTAACACCGTGGAAGTGCTCCAATAGAAGTGAGCACAAGAGAGGCAAGCAACACCCGTGAAAGTTCTCCAAGAGGATAGTATACATGCGTTATGTGCTCTCACGGCTTCAACTGATAAATGTGCTAACAAAAGAATTTCACAACTTAACTGCTTTATGAGTTAGTATCCAAGTCAAGAATGAATTATATTTATTATTGAGCTTGAGGGGGAGTGTCGAAGGATTAACCTTAAGTTATGGATATTTGTGTAATCCTAATAAATAATATAAGTAGTTGACCACTCTTCTTTATCTCTATTTTTACCTAGGATTTATTTTGATTTATTGTAACTGGTTGCAAGTAGCTTGCTGTTTTTTCTTATTTACTTTAAAAAGTTACATGTCTAGGGAAAGACTAACTAAAACCTAAATCGATAGTTAATCTAAATTCCCTATATACTAGATAATCTAAATAAATCCTTAGGTAATAGATAAAAAGATAAAGATAAATCTAAATAAATTTCTAGTTACTAGTTAACTATAAATCTAATAGATATCATTCCTTCTTAGCTTGGATACTAACTCATGAATTACACAAATATCCTAATTTAAGGTTAATCCTTATTCAAAACTAGTATCTAGGGATTTATTTAGATTTATTATTACCTAGTAGGTAGGGATTCAGTAAGCCTGTATTATAAAAGGCAAATGTACTTCTGTGAAATTAAGAAAAAAGGTAGTTAGATAATTTAGACTTTCAACAGTCAATATTTGAAAATGACTCGATAAACTCATTACATGAAGTGGAAGGATAGATTGAGAATGATTGTGACAATAACAATAGGAGATATCTGGTTGTTTGTGGGTCAATGTGCATGAGTGTTATCAGTTGAGTATATTTGTACACTTTTATCGTGAATTCCAATTAATTTTATACTTGGTATTTTGTTTCAATAAAAAGTAGGGGCATGGTTGTTAGTTGTGTTATTTTAACAAGTTCCGTTGGTGATGTTTTGCATAGTAAAACTGTCATGTTTCGTTTTAATTGTGTGAATCGGTTTTATTCATTTCTAATTGTTTGGTAGCAAATTGTTATGAAGAATATTGTTCATACTGAAACAATTTTTTGTACTTTTTGAGTAGCAAACCAGTTATGAAATTTTACCGAGGTGACTGTTATCTTCCCTCCATATCAATTCTACAGGTGACGCCACTGGATTCTTTTCTGCCCCTTTAACTCAGATAGCACAGAGCTTGGAGGATGAATTTCACTTGCATGATCACGTTAATAAGTTAAGCTGGATAGAACTTGCTTCACCTAGCTTGGTAATATGTTTTGTTCTTCTTGTGCTATATGTAATTGTTTGGCATCCATATGGAAGCCTTACATTATTTGTCAAATGCCCATTTGTTAATATCGCAATGTCTAATTAAAAGAATAATTATATTACAGGAGAAAACATGCAAGTTCAGTGGAAAATTAAGTTGTACTGTGCTTTTGTCGCCCAAACAAGAATTTGAGAACATAAATCAATCCTCAAATAAAGGAAGGAAATCTGGATCTATTCAAATAAGTCCGAGTAGGACTGGACCATGGACTACTGTTAGGTTAAACTATGCTACACCAGCTGCTTGTTGGCGCTTAGGGAATGATGTCATTGCCAGCCAAGTGACTGTCAAGGATGGTAGCCGATATGTGACAATTAGGTCTCTCGTCTCAGTGCAGAACAATACTGATTATATGCTTGATGTCTGCCTAATGTCCAAACATTGCAAGGAAAGCATACATCACGCGGATGAAACTGGTAGTTCAGATGGTTCAACAGCTGATAATAACATGGTTGTTACAGAAGAGTTCGATGAAACTGAAAAATACAGCCCTACTGCTGGCTGGGTTAGCTGCCTGAAATTCAGTCAGGATTTCTCAGAAGTAATCATTCCAGAGGTATAATCGTTCTCTCCAAGAGTGGACAGTTGAATTCAAATTATGATTTTAGAAAAGTAAAAAGTTGAAATCAAATGAAGAAAGGCCATTATTTCAAATAATTTGATTAGAAAGAACTTCATTTCTTACATGTTTGGTGGAACTTAAGTTGGTCGTGTCCATAAAACTTAGTTATATTTTAATATTAATTTTTCGTGATGTGTATGTTGTATATTTCTTCTAAATTTCCTCGTCAGAAAGCTTTCTTTATGCCCAATTAACACAAGGATCAATCACTCTTCTATGATCTCTGTCCTTGGGAGGACTCACACAAACAAAGTTCAAAATAGACACCCTTCCTAATATGTTCCCTGCAGAAGTGTGCCTCTGCATACATGTGCATGACAATGCAGATCACTTATTTATCATCTTTGTGGCACGCTTCTCAGAGAGCTTTGTATCTCTTGAGACGAACACCACTTGCTGAGTTTTGTGACTAAGAGCACAACACGCATACGTTTTTCTGCTAAAGCTAGCAATACAAGGAATCCATAGGAGGATGTCATCTACCTTAAGGCTTTGTGGACTCTAAAGTTAAAATCTCTCTCAAATTTCTTTCTTTTAATTTTGTTAACTACATGGAGGGCCTTCCTCTGGCTCCTGTAGCTCAGACAGTTCTCAATTTCTTATTGGTCTTTTTCCATGCCAGTTTTTGAGTGACTAAGTGGGGATAGAGTTTGACAATTTAACAGGGAAGGAAAAGGGGTAATGGGTCGAGGAATTGGAGAGGTGAATTGGGAAAAGAGATAGAATAAGGGGATATTACAACCGTGTCAAATGAGGTTGTTACAATTAAGATGTATGTATTAGTATTGAGCCTTTGGGCTGACTTGATGAAGGTCAGTCTCGAGGACATAGTTAATATTCAATTTTTAGTTCAGTTCTCCAAGCTAAGCTTTGTCGATGCTTATAGCAATTTTGCATCATAATTTATAGAAGTCCACTTTTCCATTGATGATTCTCGAGGAATTGTTATGGTGCTTTCTTGTTTCCGTTATTGAAATTCATCGTAGTTCTGTATAGGTATCCTTTATTAGGCTTCCTTTTAATTAATTGTTCACTTGCACAGGTAACATCAAGAGTTGAGCTACCGTCTGGTTGGGAATGGATTGATGATTGGCATTTAGACAAGAGACCTCTTACTGCTGCTGATGGTTGGGTTTATGCTCCAGATATCAAAAGTCTTAAATGGCCTGATTCTTCCGACTCTGTGGAATCTGTAAACCATGCGAGGCAAAGAAGGTGGGTCAGAAGTAGGAAACAGATAAGTAATATAGAGAAGGAAATATTCATAGGGCAATTGAAGCCTGGTGATACGGTTCCCCTCCCTTTATCAGTGCTGGCACAATCTGGTCGTTATATATTTCATTTGAGGCCTTCGACACTTAAAAATTGTGATGAGTACTCTTGGAGTTCAGTTGTAGATAAACCTAATCAAGAGGATGCTAATGGGCCTGATATTTTCTCTGAAGTATGCGTTTCAAACCTAAGTGAATCTGAGGAGTTGTTGTATTGTGTTCAGACAAGCGGAACCTCGTCAAGTAGTTCTCATAGGTTATGGTTTTGTTTAGGCATACAAGCCTCGGAAATTGCCAAAGATATGCACTCTGACCCTATTCAGGACTGGAATCTTGTTATCAAGGCTCCCTTGTCTATTACCAATTACCTTCCGCTTGTGACAGAATTTTCGGTTCTACATAAACAGAAAAGTGGCCACTTCATTGGCTGTTGTAGAGGAATCCTTCATCCAGGGAAAACTGTGAAGGTCTATGATGCTGATATCAGAAATCCATTGTTCTTTTCACTCTTCCCACAGAGAGGATGGCTTCCTGTACATGTAAATTTAGTTCACTTTCATCTTGCAACATTTAAATTCTACTGGAGAGATTTTTCTGTGCCTATTCTTTTTTCTTTTTCTTTTTCTTTTTTTTTTTTTTTTTTTTTTTTTTTTTTTT